GGTTGTTCCACCTAAATACTGAAAGAAAAGCCCAACACAGGAAGGCCAAGGTCATTTTATAATTTTCCTTGTGCTACTAGCTGCTGACAACTGATCTCACCACCATTTTACATCTTTAAGGATCTAAACCCAACCTAAGCAGCACCTGATAGAGGATTCATAGTTGCTTCCTGCAGGAGATCATAGGACTTAAAAGAGGCAGCAGGTGCAGGAGAAAGTGGGACCCCAAGAACCCTCCGGGCTCATGCAGCAGCCAGGTGGCCTGATCTATCTCGGTCTACTGCTGTGTTGGACTGGATGCTGCACTAAGAGGCCATGCTCTGCCTGGGGTCCTAAGTTAGAGTCTTGCTTTGGCTTCCTTTTAGCCATCCTTCCAACATATGATCCACTGAACACAAACCTTAAGTGTTAGTAAGAAGAGGCCCAGGGAGTGTCCTCTTTTCCAAGGAGCCAAATTACAATGAGCAGTTGGTTGCCCAAAGAGAAGATAAATAGAGTATCTTTCTCTTCTCTTAGTTGATGGGCAGCACTGTTTAGACTATTTCTATCTACTAAGGTTGAGGAGAGTTTAGAAAAGAAGGAGTGGGGAGTGTGCTGGAGTGGAGAGAAAGCAACAGAAGGCAAAGGCATATGTATCATAGCTAATCCATTCTCTTTCTAATCTAATTCTTACCAAGGAAGATGTCACCTAGTTCTTGAGACACTGCAACAATGATCTTGATTGATTGTGATCATCCTCATACTGCACTTTATACAACAGCATGGTGTTTTCATGTCCATTAATGTCACCAAGTCCAGCAGGCTTGGTGCAGGCAAGCACTTTGTTCTACGCAAGCTGTGCTTCTCTGCCTCGTGTGGCCCAGTGGGTGTGTTGGGATGTGGGGGTATGTTTGTCTAGCCTTAGAGCTAGTCCAGCTCTGCAGGCTGTCCCCAAGGAGCCAAGTCATCACAGGGAGGGAAACTGAGAACTTAAGGGAACCACAGGGCTTTCTAGTTCATAGAAGAAGATGGAACTTTTGATTTACAATTCTTTGGTCATGGAGCATATGCTATATTTGTACATGTGCACATATGTGTGTGTGTGTGCATACGAGTGTGTGCATGTGTGTGTAATGGGAGTTAGGGGAGGGAGGTGTTAAGATAGGAAAAGAAAGTTTCCTAAAGTTATATTAAATGTCCTGAGCTATGAAGGGAAAAATTTGCATATACTGCAGTTGAGTCTGGAACTCCTTCCTCTGGACAAGGAACTGACAACTTTTGGCAAAGAGTCAAAGAAGACCACTGCACAGAAGAGGACACTAACAGTTCCTCATGATTATGTAGCCCTTGTGTCCCTGGCCCTAGAGAACACTGACTTAGCAGGTTAGCATTAAGTGGACTTTGGATATCAGTTAAAAAATAAATAAAACAAGGCTAAGGATATGCTAAGGAGAAGCAAAGGACTCACATTTTGGAACCAGTCGTCCTTCATTAAGAAGACGATTGGCAGTGACTCATGGGATGAGCTCCTCACTGTGTACTTTCCTGGGTGGGAGGTGGGTACACTGCCTAGATTGCCTGGCTGGCTGAAGCTTCCCAAGAGGAGGAAGACTTTCTGAGGGTGAATTGCTCCCAGCCACTCCCTTTATTTGCAGGGAAGTGAAGACAGGAAGGTCCATGAGGAACTCTGGGGTCTAACCCAGCCCACACTGACATGGTCACAGTTGTCATGACTGCTTCAGGCATAAGCAAGGACTTTCTTCACACCCTTCCTTTAGCATTTGTACCATAGCGGTGCAGTGATTCTCTTCCTCACCATTCAGAAGTGTGGCAGCTTCATCCAGACTGTGTCCATCCAGAGATGTGTCCTTAGGTCTAACCCATCCGTCTCACTCTGGACAGCACTGTCTTTCCTTTCCCCTCACTCTCTGCTTCTTGGCAAAGAAGAAAACAAGGGAGTCCTGGAAAGGATCCCATGCCCACACACTGGGGAGGGCCTTCTTCCAAGAGAAGAGCTCCACAAGGAGGTGGGTCCTCAGGGGCAGGAGGCTTCATAAAAGTAGAGCTGATCTTCTCCCTGTCATCTTGGGTTACATGAGCCTCTCAGGAGTGACGCTGATGAGTCTCCCCAGAAAAAGGACTGTCTGGGCCAATCAATGTGGCAGGCCCTGCTGGCGGGCGGGCTCCCATATCCTACTGAGATCCAGATAGGCTTCTGTGTCTGGGCATGAAGCCAAGGAAGAGGGAGCTGGGAGGGGGCTGAGGACCTCCTAATCCTGGTCACTTGAGGGACCCTGCCAGGCCCAGGACAGGACACAGCTGTGATGAACCAAATGCAGACTGGGCTGTAGGTTGTCTTTCACCTTCACCCAAGTCAGAGCAGGTGGGCTCAGGCAGGGAGCAGTTTCCTGGGAATATAGGCTCCAGACTCAAGGCCAAATAAATACCAGCTTTGTTGAGCTATCACTGTCTTTAGAAAGGGTGGGGCTGCGGGCTACAGAAGAAGGCAGCAGCAATGACCCTTCTCACCACCGGGCTGGCAGGACGGTCGGGGGGAGCAACAGGAGGGTTTAAATTACAGGAGCATTTCTTAAGCCTGTTCAGTCTGCAACCCCTGGTGACCTTCCCAGTACAAAAGCCCATTCAGCCACTGAGGGCCACCTGTTGGCAGAGGCCCCACCCTCAGGCTGCTGATGCTCGTGTTCTCTCTCCTTGCCTCTTTCTGGCTTTCTTCTGTCTGCTTTTGTCTTTCCTATACCATGTGCATGTACACACCACACACACACACACACACACACACACACACATTCTTTTCCTTTCCACAATGTTACAACCACCTTCCTCCCTAGAGTCATGGGAAGACTTATCCAAAACACCAGAGAAAACAGACTGACCTTTACACCTCAAGAATCTGTTCCTTTGTTCTCTGCCCTAGTCTTCCTGAAGGATGGACTTGCTGGGGCCACTCAGTAAGTGATGGGGTCACTAGAACAGGTTCTTACCCATGATGGGCGCATAACAGCCCCATATTCCTATTTGATATTCCTATAACTCAGCAAAGCAGGCAACCCTGACATCACACCTCCAAATCACAGGTGGGAAGACTGGGACACTGGGGGGTGTGGCCCTGGGACCTGGGGACAGATGCTCACAGTTCATGTCCACGGCTGTTTTCTTTAAGCCACACTGACAGTGGAGCTGCCAGCTTTCCTGTGCAGACCAATGGCCTGCTTTCAGAACAGCTCGCATTTCCTCTTAGTCTTAGTCCACTCTTCTGTTGGTACAGATGGAGAAACTGAGGCCACACAAGAAGTAGCATCTGTTACCTTCTCTCATTTCTGCTAAACTCAGCCCTGGGGACAGGAGCCTCTGTCACTTTCTCAGAGCCTTGATGTCCCCACAGTGCACAGGTCTCAGTGATGTGTGAGGCCAAGGCAGCCTTGCAGCAGAGACCAGTGCAAACATGGAAACCTGCACTTAGATTCTGCAGGCTTAAAGCATCAGAGAGGATCCAGCTCTTCCCATGGCCCTTGTGGGTGCATGCCCCATGCAGGAAGCAGCTGAGCTATCCTGACCACAGTGAGGCAGTGGGTTTGGAACTCGGTCTCTTTCTGAAAGTCCTCACCACATGGGACAAGGACAACTTCCTTCTTGCCTGCAAAACATCATTCTGGAGGCTCTTTTTGACTTACTGGAGCCCATCTGTCCTTTGAAGGTAGTCTTGCCAGCCTCTTAAGCAGGCCATGTCTCTGTGCCAGTACTCTTGGTTACCATGTAACCTTGGTGTCAACTTAAGTGCAGTCTTTGGTCTGTCTCTGAGTTTTGTATATTTCAGAGGGGCTCAATGATTCTCCATTTTCTCCCCACCATAAAATACCTGAAGGACTTCAGATGTTCCCTTAAGGAACTCAAGTCCTCATTACACCTAAGATTATCACCAGAAATGGGAAGGAGCCTGTTCGCTCAGAGAGGATATGTTAGACTTTAGGAGTTTTCTAACATTCAGAATTTAAGAGAGTGTTCTTCCCTTTGGGAGGGGAGAGAAAAGAACCTGACTTCCTACTTTCTTATAGTTGAAAGTTACTGGAAAATGCTATTGATCACATAGTGTTCAGGCTCTTAGTAGGAAAATGAAAGTCTTCTCCTTAATTTTAATGTGTATCCAATCGGAAAGTGTAGTTTCAGGTGTTGATGTGAGGCAATAATTGTGCTGGAACCAAGTTTCATTGGAATGGGGTCACGCTACAGTTGTCATCTCCAGGTAGCGGTGCTAATGGTCTCTGGATTCCCCCCAAAATGGCTTTAGCTCCCCTATCCTTATTTCTTGGCTGGTTGTCTGTCCTCTATGTCCTACCCTTTGGTTCATTTATCATGCTACCATGTGCCTCCATTAGAACACTGTTGGCTTTTTCTGAGTTCTGGAGAACACAATGGAGCCAGCACAAGAGAGGGTACCAGGGGTATGTGCCAGCACTTGGGGCAGGCTTCCTCGGCCCAGTAACACTGGGCCCAGTGCACTGACAGCCAGCTCATGGGTGTCATGGCAGCAGAGAGAGGGTCCTCAGGTGGTACACCCTTGCACCGCACATCCAAGTACCAGGAAATTCCACGGAGAAACCTGAAGGTATGTTAAGTAGACATCACCTATTTTGCAGCACGTATACAGACATGACCTATGTAAAGCTTAAGAAAAAAAGCCCCATACAGCTGCATCACATAGCCGCATCACCCATGAGGAAAGTCCCAGGATCTCACTTCCCCTGGCTCTGCAAGGTGTAATTATCCAGTGTCATATGTATGTCCTGGTCTGTCACCATCCCCATCCTGCCATTTCTGTGTATTTCTTGTGAGAACTGAGCTACTTAAAGTGAAGTCAGAAAGAACAAAAGAAGGGAGATACAAAGGATACAAGAAGGGAAGAGTAAAGGAAGGAGAAAGGAGAGAACCGAGGGAAGGAAAGGGATGTGCGAGAACAGGGGGAGGGAGACAATCACAGGGAGGAGACAGGAGGCTGTACTCACGTGTTGTGCAGCACACACCAGCCACAGTGGGGATCGCCAGAGCCAAGGCACTCGCTACAGCTCTGGTATTGACTGCAGGACTCCACGGGGACTCTGGTGAGCTAGGACAGCACAACAGGGAGAAAGCGGTCATGATTCTGCTGAACACCCACTCACCCACTGGAAGAGAGGCTGTTCTAAATATCACCATATTACCTGAAACACTGTAGGAGCATAAAGGTGCTTAGAGGCCCAGAATGGAAGGAAGTGAGTGAATGAGCAGGCGGCTGCCTAGTATTCAAGGGATATAACCCTCTGCTACGTTCTTAGCAGTCTCCACACAGTTCATATTGAGTTGTTATAAAAGATACTTACATAGTGTATTTTAAAAGTTTCCCTCCACTCAGCCCCCCAAATATCTCTGTGAACATCCAATCCATCATGTATTTGTTTCTCATCAGTGCGGTAAACCAAATGTTCATTCTTTCCCCATCTTTTGCCAGAGTGTTTCCTTTTCTTTCTCGCCATTCCATCAAGCCTCCACACTTTTGATGTTGCAGAAAGCATGCAGCCCAGACCAAGATCTTTCTCTCCCCTTCCTCCTGCCCTTTTCACAAGGTGCTTAATTCACTGCATGAATGTTCCTGTTCTCTCTCTCCTTCCCAAAATGTTGGCCAACTGGCTCTACACATTTTCATGATGGTGCGTTTGCAATGCAGCCTTGCTATTTCCCCTCCTGCCCACACCCTTTGCATGACTTGAGGTTTCCTCTCCAACCCAAAAACTTCATATTAGCTCTCACCAGCAGCTTGTTAATGTAAAATGTTAAAATGTTCCACATGACATTTTTACTTATCCCAAATGCTTCCATTTCCTGTGTGCTCTTAGCTATCTTTTGAATTTCTTTATTCTCTAATGCAACTTTGCCTTGATGTCTCTTTATGTTTCCCAGCGCCTGCTGCATAGTAGGTCCTTAATAAAGATTCTTGAGATCAAACAGAATTTCTATTTTCTTTTTATAGCCTTAGTCTTTAGTCTCCATTTTGTCAGTTTCTTTTTTTACAATTTTTTTTTTTCTCCCTTAAATCATTGTTTCCATTTGGGGTACTTTTTTATTTTATCTCAGTGGAGGATTTCCTGCCTAGACTTTCAGCTACAGCTAGAAGAATTTGACGAGGTTGTCATTTGCAGTTTCTCACTATCAGACAGATCAGGCACAGAAGTCTGTAAATGGGGCTGACCTGGCTAGGCCCTCTCTGCTCATGAGCAAATGCAGAGGCTGTGTTGTCCCTGCTGTTTCATAGGACATCTGTCTCTATAAAATTATGTCCACTTGGCAGGGGCTGCTTGTAACTCATGCATAGGGAATCTGGCACCAGAGCCTGCTCAATTAGTCTTGAATCTCTTTTGGAATTAATTAATAATTAATTTCAAGCCCCACGTGATCCCTTTCCTCTTAACTTCCTTGTTCCTTTTATATATCTTTTAGTTCTTCTAAAATAGCATTTATCCTTCTTAAAGACCATTCTGTATTTTCACTTCTTCCCAGTTACCTTTTAGTTTCTTCCTCTTATTTTTACAGCTTTGTCCTTTGCCTTGCCTTGATGTCTTTTTTGCACACTTGGAATTTTATCTTTCCTTCTACGACTGCTCATGTAATCTGCCGTGCCTGGTCCTGGCTATCCATGACCTTGCTGTCTTCATAATGAACCTAGATCAGCAGCTTCTTACAAATTACTCCCCTGACTCCCTATGCAGACAGGAATTCACCCTATTTCTTTTGCCTCTTTAATTTCTCTCACCTTCCTTAAGTGAGCTTAGATGTGCCAGTCATATAAGTACATACCTAGTGGTTCCCAACCCAAAGGACCTGGACTCCTAAGAATTCATGAGTGGCAATGAGGTCCACAAACTACTTTCAATATTTCCAAAACCTAATGAAATTTGGATTGGTGCTATTTTAATATTTTTATGCATGCTCATGCTGTATGCCCCATATTAAAAATACAAAATATATTACTTAATAAACACAGTTTGTTTAGTAGACACAATCTTTCAAAACATGATGCCCCAAGGGGGAAAAATAATAAAAGGGGCCATAGATGGTGAAAGTTGGAACCATAAGTGCATAACAATGTTTTCATATATTCCAGCTGCTTGTCTGGCACTCCATATTTTACATGGGCTTAAAGAGAAAATCATGGCTTGTTCAATCAACAGCATTTTCTTGGCCTAAACTTAATTAACATCCTCCATAGTTTCCCCTGTTGACAAGTTCTATAATCTGTCTTGGATGGAATGTGCCCTAGGATTCCAGGGTGTGCCACCTTAAGTGAAGAACCAGCTGCTCGGTAAATTTGAAACTCTCACAAACCTTTGCATTCTAAAAATACCTTGCAACTGGTGTTTAATGATATCAAGGCCCTAGAATTGTAAAATCTCTCCTCTTGTCAATTTGGTTGCTTGGAAAGACTGTAGGATCCTGCAGAGCTAGGTTCAAAGCCTATATGGTGTGCCATTTATCAGCAATGAGGTCCTATTGTCTCTGAGTCTGATATTTCTCACCCTTAAACATGGAGAGAAAAGTTCTCCTTAATTCAGTTTCTCACAGCTCAGTGGCCTCCATGGCTTGTAGTTATGAAACCATTTGTAAATGCTCACACACTGTACAAGTGATGGTTATTATCCTTGCTATCTTTGTCAGTAGTACCTCATTCCTCTGCACTCTCACTTTACTTTTTATGTACACCCCCAACAACTGCCCTGAGAGTCTTCCAAGGCCTCATGAACTCCACTGGGACTTGGACAGACCTGGAAGCCGTTTTCTTTTTTAATATCTTGATTGTGTCATTTCACTCTTGAACTATAGCATCTGAAGATAATCACCCGGGCCTCTACAGCTTTCTACTCTTGAAGGCAAGCAGCCCAACTTTAAAAAAAATCTACTTATATGTTCTTTCTATCTGTGCATCCCATTGTTTTTCTTACTTTCTTCTGAACTTGACCTAAGTTTTCCCCACTCTTTTTAAAGCATGGATACTAAAACTGGGAAGCCACTGGGGATACCCCCAGGCCAAGGAGAAGAGTTATCATTATTTGGGAGCTAGGAGCCACAGCCCACCCCTCTTGAGGACCTCCACAAGGAAGGCCAAGACAAGCAAGATCTTGCAAGTTCCTCTATCAGGCTACCCACTTCCTACTTGCAAGTCCCTCAATCAGGCAAAGCTCTGCTACCCTGGCCCCATATCTCCTGGTGGGTAATTCTGGTAGGCAGTAGAACTTTTCCCAATACTCCCAGTCACTTTTGCAAATTGGATTTATCCCAGTCGTTTATCTTGGTACAAATGTATAATCTGATGTCCTTGGTTATCTTCCACACCTTGCTAGCACATTGCATAGGTACCAGATGGTTTCTGAGCCACTTCACCCCTATGACTCTTTCCCTCCCCAAATATCTAGATCCTCTGCCCACATCTTACACCAAACAAAGCGGTCTCTCCATCCCCCACCTGGGCTCCTCTCCTGACCCTGGAACACAAACCACTCCAGATGCAGAGCCACACGATTAATTAAAACCACCCCACGCTGATTAAAGTCTTAAGCTACAGTGCCAGGCATGCTAATTAACTGAGTGAGGGAATTCAGACCACAGGAAGAGGTGAAAAAAGAAAGTCATGGCAGAGGGGGCAGGAGGGGGAGTTCTGTTTAGAGAATAAATCAGATGACAAAGTGACCTAAGCTATCATAATGATAAATGGTCTCAGAGACCACAAAAGATTGAGGTCCGTTCCCTGGTCACTGGTCTCCAGGAGATATGCTGATTGATATGGCTACAATATCTTTATTGCTTCAGGGGACAGGAGCCCCGCCACCACTGGGGACCTCCATGAGTGCCTCCACTGAGCTGAGGGACAATGTGGCTCCTTGGGCATAGGAGTTAGGGTGAGGTATGACAGTCCTTCTCTTGGCACACTGTCCTGGCCTTGTGCAGCGATTTAGGCAGTATGACAGTTCTTTAAAAGGTTAAACATAGATTATCCCATGATCCATTAATTTCACTTCTGGATGTAACTCAAAAGACTGAAAGATGGGTCTAAAAAACACATCTGTATATACACGTTCAAAGCAGAGTTATTCACAGTAGCCAAAAGGTGGAAAAAGCCTAGATGTCCATCAACATAGGAATGGATAAATAAAATAGAGCATACACATACAGTGTGGAACAGTATTCAGCCTTAAAAAGGAAGGAAATGCTGAATGAATCTTGAAGACATAAAGCTAAGTGAAATAAATCAGACACAAAAAGACAAATACATGATACTATGTGTATGGGGATCCGTGGAGTAGCCAGATTCGTAGAGAGAAAGTAGAATTGTGATTGCCAGGGTTTGGAATGAGGGAGAAATGAGTTACTGTTTAACAGGTAGAGAGTTTAAGTTTGGGAGGATAAAGTCAAGTTCAGGAGATGGATGGTGGTGAAATGTATTTACCACCACAAAACTCTCAGAAAGGTGCAAAATGGTAAGTCTCATGCTATTAAAATTTTACCACAATTATAAATTTTGTTTCAAAACCAATCTTTTGAGTGAGTTTTCGCAAGGGAGCTCATCCTTACCAGGGCCAATAGATGTGAAAACACCTGCTCCCGGCTCAGCTTCCTGGGTTGAGGGGGAGCAGCTCTGTTGGTAGACTAATAAATTTGTATTTATGAAGTATTCTGAGATCCTTGCTTGAAGAGATAGCCATCACTATGCTTTTCAGTTTAATCTCAAACAGACAAAGGTTTTGGTTGAATGTCTCCTATCATGCATTGTTATGTAAATGGATCTGTTATTGTCAAGGTATGGACATCTATTTCCTGATTTGGAAAAATAATGCCATATCCTTGTTCCAACAAGAAGTTTTTCTTGCCTCAAAATTCAAATAATTCATTTAAATAATTCGTGATTTAAAATAGTCTCTAACTTTAGAAAATTATCCTGATCTTCTTAGCCTCCACTTTGACATTTTTCCTTCCCAGTTATGATCACTAGTTGCCACTAGGCCCCTTTCTATCCCCAAACTCCCTCTCCCGTTAGAGTCATGTTGTTTTTCGTTGTCCTTTTGCTGCTGCCAAGGTGTT